AGGTCACCTTGTGGGGAGAAAATATTCTCAGTCTAGATATACAAATTAATTCTCACCACTAATGTGTCCAATAGTCTACGTACTACCAATGGAACCCTGGTGGCACAGTGGTTATGCGTTTGGCTGCTAGCCACAAAGTCAGCAGTTCAAAACCACCAACCACTCCAAGGGAGAAAAACTCAATGTCATCGAGTCAATACTGACTCATAGCAACCCGATAGGACAGGGTAGAACTGCCCCTGTGAGTCTCTGAGACTGTAACTGTTTTGGGGAGTAGAAAACCCCATCTTTCTCCCAGGGAGAACTGGTGGTTTTGAACTGCTAATCTTGTGGACCCCAGTCCAATAGGTTACCACTGCACCACCAGGACTATTCCAAGGGAAAAAGTCAGGGCCAGGGCTTTCTACTCCCATAAAGCGTTACAGTCTCAGAACCCCACAGGGGCCATTCTACCCTAACCTGCAGGGTCGCTATGAGTCAGAATCGCCTTGATGACAGTGAATTTGGTGAATTCAGGCAGCAACGGGACACTAGTGTCATCAGTCAACTTTCCCAGTCAGTGTAAACGAGTCAAATATTGTGTGCGCTTGTGTGTTTGGATTTGTTTTCATTTGTTTTGTTTGCTTCTCCCCGCCCCACCTGCCTCCTCACCCTGCCTTTGCATCCCATTGGGTTTGGGTTAGCTTCATTTGGGTTTGGATTGAGAGTTCTGGCAAAGTGGTCGATTTTGTGAAGCCCTTGGGTTCTACCTAACTGTGCCTTGTGTGGAGCGGCTGGAGATGTCACCCCAGTTGTACTGTCAAACAACATGTCATACTGGATTGAACATGCAATGTCGGCCACATTGTGCTAATACCTCTACCACTCATCTGATAATTAACTAAAGGCACCTGCACTAAGTTGGGGGCAGGGGTTAACCTTCCTCTATGGAGGGAATCTGATTCTTTCTTCTTTACTTGAAGCATCTCTGGAAATAATTGCCTTTCGTTAAAGCAGATCTTTTCTCTTCCTGCATATTCACAGAGACTGAGCACGGAAAGCCTGGACTGGGTAAGTCCATCCGTTCACTTTATCAACCTGACAGCTTTCCCTTCTGTGCACTACCTGGGCAGGTAGTAGGTAGACAATAGAAGGAGAAGTGGGACCAAGGGTGGGAGGGATCCAGTTGCCACCCTGGCACCCATTGTTTTCCATTTCTGCTTTCCTGGGCCATTCAGATGCTCTGACGACGTTGGAGTGGGGAATGCTCTTGGATCACGCTCACAAGAATTAGCTTTGTGTCCCTTTCCATCCTGAAGGTTATTCCCTAATGCTGGCATTTTCATTTTCTCAGTGAAACGTCTTTCTACAGCCTTATGTCCACCACTATGCCACAGGAAACTCTTGGTGTGTCATTTGTATAGCGTATAAATTGTCCAGCGCCTGTTCTTCCCTGACAGCCCTTAGCGTGCTGGGGTCTGGGGACGCTGGTCCAACGGCTCTTAGCTGTTCCTCATTCTGGCACCGAATTCCCATCCCTTCCCCCTGCAGAGGACACTGAGGAATCCTTGTCAGTGTCTCCAGGTAGGAGGGATTTTCTTGGTGTAGTGACCGGATGGAGTCTTTACTTTGCCAAAGATCCTTTTTTCATAAAACAGCAGTTGCTGATTGGAACTGGAGTCAAAATTGGAAGGGGGACCAGAGAGCAGATATTGGACATGTGCCATCAGCCTAGTGTTGTATTAGGAAACCAGTCAGTCTTGCAACTCATAAAGCCAACAGGAGTCATCTGTTCAAGACTAGGCCATTACCTAGCCAAGGTGGTGCTTTTGGATGAGAGAAAAGAACCGAGTTTGGTGGCAGAAGAAGGGAGTTCAAGGTCCATCCCTGCCACTTCCTTAGCGTGAACTTGGGCAAGTCCTTTACACTCCTTTTACCAAGAGAAATTCAAACACCTGCTGATACATTACATGGACTGATAGTCTGCGTCTTTTTTTAAATAATATTTTTATTGTTAATTAGGTGTGGGGGGGAGGCAGGTTTCCGACCATCACTTTTGTGTTCAACAGTGTAAACTGCTTATCAGATATCCCTGGCCCAGTCTACCCAACCCTCCCTCCTCTGATTTCTCCCTCCTGTGAATTACAGAGCCACTCCATCCTGTCCACTCTAGTCTATTGCCTCATCTGCAACCCCTTGCTGCCCTTCCTTGGTAACCACCAAGTCGGCTCCCTTTGCACTGAAAGCCTGCGTCTTGGTCCCCCTTCCAATGTGTTTTGTTCTTGAATTCGGGGCTTTTTCTGCAAAGGACTGGATAGTAAATACTGTGGGATTTTAGACTAGATGCCCCTGTCACACACTCACACTCGATGGTTGTAGCACAAAAGAGGCTCAGGACACTTCATAAGCTAATGGGCATGGCTGTATTTCAGTAAAACGTTGTTTACAAAAAGAGGCCAAACTCACTGGCATCAAGTCGATTCTGGCTGATCGCAACCCTGTTGGACAGGGTACAGTTGCCTTTGTGGACTTCCTAGACTCCACTTCTCTGTGGGAGTAGAAAAGCTTGTTTTTCTCCCATAGAGCAGCCTGTGGTTTCCAACAGCTGACTGCAGTCAACAGCCAAACTCATGACCATGATGCCACCAGGGCTCCTGTGACCCCTGTAGGAGGATAGCATTGACCAGGCCATGAGAATTCCCTTATCCACCACGATTTCCATGATACCTCAAACCCCAGGAAGCTCAAAGCCTAATTGAACGATCAGTGAAGTATGTCGCGTAGGGTGTTGTTGACTGATTGGTTGGTTTTTACCAGTTTCCTATTTCCTAGTCTTAGTCTTTTAATTTTTCCCTTTTTGTTTTGATCGGTCTATGCAGAGAAATGCATCTTACGGCAAGCTATCTGAAATCTGTGGGAAAGTACAGTCAGAATATCTACTACAGGTTTATAAAACTG